ATTCCGGAGCATATATTAAGTTTATCAATTCCTAAGTTTAAAAACTACATTAAAAATATTTTGATCGAAAAATCATATTACAAAGTTGAAGACTACGTGTTAGATAAAGATGTATGGAAAGACGACATGGCTCCAGAATCCACACAAATTTGATTCAAAATGTATTCATTGTATCAATGTATTCATTTAAGTTTATTTGAAAAGAGCAATCCCTAGAGTTTCTTGCTCGTTCTTCTCAGGGAGGTCAGCGTAGTGAACGAGCAGTAGCTTAACTGTGACGTTTTCAAGTGTAAATTTATTTTACCTATGGAATAAATAATCTTTGACTTTGACTTTGTCCTCATCTCTTAATTTTTTTAAACTTTGATTGTGGACTAAAACTAATGGACTTTGTCTGTCTGCTTCAAAAAGTGTAATAGTCTTATTCTCTAGGATGCGCTACCCACCGGATCTTGAAATTGTATATGATTCCATTTCTATTCCAGTTAGACTTCAAAATAACTATCTAGGTATTGTACTAGACTCTAAACTCACTGGTATTCCTCACTGTGAATACATTACGGCTAAACATGAACGTAATCTAAATATTCTAAAATGTCTTGCCGGTGTCTGGTGGGGTGCGCATCCTTTCTCTCTTAAACTTATTTATTTATTTATTTATTCATTTTGTACAACTTACACTTATAGTACTTATAAGTAAACATGTAAGTCATAGTCACAAAAAAAGGTTGAGTCGATCACCGGCCAAAGATAGGATGCGGAATTTGGACTACAGAGCTTTGGACGGTACCAAACCGACCGCCTCCAAATAGTAACCAACGCATGTTACAAATTTTTATTCAGTGTTGCTAAACACGTCAATATCATTTGTTTTGCTTAAGGATTCAATTACGGCCAATGCTTCGAAGAATGGTGTCCTTCTTAGTGTCACTGTGCGGGTTAAGTGAAAGTTGAATAGAGGGTATTTGCGCTAACGAAGGACGCAACGTGAGATTGGCGGGATAAAAAAAGGAATTTGAGCCAATAGAGGAGGGTTAATTATCATCCTCTTATTAGGTTAAAAATATATTTTAGAAGCGCCAGTTTTGGCCTGATCTCAAGCGATCTGTACGATACCATGCCCAAAATAAAGAGTGTAGGGTACATATAAGGATAGTACCCATAAAGTTTACTATACTTACAAATATCTCAAAAATGATTTCTGGATTTGTTCCAACATTGCTATAAAGAGTTTATTGTGGGGATTCCACACTGCGCACGTAGCTTCCAATTTAATTTGAAAAAATTTATATAAATTACAAATTGCCTGTCTGTGGTCAAAAAACTTAGATTGCCGCTTGATGAAGCCAAGAATTTACCAAGCTCTATTACATATATCAATAACATGATCGTTAAATTTGAGTTCAGAATCGAATCTTACTCCCAAATCACGAACAGACTTCACACAGTTCAAGGTCGTGCCACCGAGGCTGTACTCATTGAGGATTGGATCTCTCCGGGAATAAGACATCAATGAACACTTTTCAACATTCATCTCCAACCTGTTGTCCCGGCTCCAAACGAAAATATTGTTAATATCAGCTTGGAGTAGATCAAAATCCGCGGTGCACTTCACCGGCAAAGCGAGTTTGACATCGTCAGCAAACATAAGGCAGACAGAAGATTTTACAGATGTAGGAAGGTCATTCACAAGCAGTAAAAAAATGAGAGGGCCGAGACTACTACCTTGCCCTATACCAGCAGCAACTGTATAAGGGGAAAATTTAAAGTTTTCGTATTAAACGTACTGCTTTTTATCTTGAAAATACGCACAGAAGACTTTCATTAACTGAGTAGTAAATCCCGCAACACCCATTTTTATAAATAATTGGTCAGTGTTGATCCGATCAAAAGCTTTACGGAAGTCGGAATAGGCAACATCAACTTGAGTATTCTGATCTATTTTTGACCCAATTAAGGCAATTACATTCAGAAGATTGGACGTAGTTGAGCGTTGCGGCAAAAAAACCGTGTTATCCGTCATAAAACTGGATAGTTTATGTCGAATAGAGCACCGTTTCGAATATTTTTACAAATGGTGCTAGGCATTTGATAGCTTTGCGCACGTCAATCTCATTAATTTCATCAACACTAATATGTCCCCACACGCAAAATAGGCGCTTTGTCATCGAGTTACGGATACCAGCCCGTTGCACCAAGTACCAAGTATGTCTCTGGAAAGTGGCAAGATGTGGAAAAGTAGCAGCACCATCACAAGCTTTTTCGACACAGAGCTGTGGTAGAGAAGGGAGGAAGACACTTTGAAAAAATTGAGCAAATGTAGCTGGCTGACATGACATTTTGTGCTTCTTCGCAAACGCCCAGAATAACGAAGGATTTTGCTTGATATCCCCTGAACCATTTTGTAATAATTAATCAAATCGCATTTTGATCTTCTCAGAACCATTTTCCTATAATAGTAGAAAAAACCATAATAGAGTTGATAGTTTGTTTCTTTGTACATTTTGTGATATTTGTTTTTGAGTTTGTTTAAATATATAGTCTTAGCAAAAAACCATACCGAATAGTTAGTAGGCTTACTAGGGATCTTAAATGGAACAACTTCCTCCACTATATTGCAAATAGCTGAGTACAAGTAGGCCACAGCTTCATCTAAATGACTTATTAGCTAAAGGGGGATCCAATCTATTTCAGACATTCTCATGTAAAGTAGGTGAAGGTCATTTTTATAATAAGGGGTGTATTGGACTACGCCACTTTTCTTTTGGAAACAAGTAGTATTACGGCATTTTAAAAGTTAGACAATATTCACATACACTCAACACAAACTTAACATTGCTCCGCACTAGGGAAACCCTGTGTCGCGGGTGCCATGGACACACACATGGATAACCACAAATTACACCCAAACTCACTAGAGAAATAAATGTAGGCCACACAAACATTTCTCCCGACCCGGGAAACGAACCTGGGACCTCTGCGTGGCAGTCCGGTATGGTAACCGTTCGGCCACGGAGGCAGTTAAATTTAATCAAAAGCTTTGAGAATTCTGTCAGGTGCTATGAAGTCTAGCCCCATAAATACATTGCAGGTCGAGTGTGTAGATCCTCCACTTCGATTACGACGTCAGTTTTTATCTGACAGGTATTTCTTTCGATGCTTGCAACTTCTTGCAACAAATCATCCTCTTCTATACAAACTACAATGTCTCTCACGAGAAATGACATCTTTCCGATACTGTGATATACTGGACTCGCAAAACTCCACCATGTCTTGTCATTAGTTTTCTCAAATACCTTGTTCTTCAAACCCCCACTTATCAATATTCACTCTATCCTCTTTTTTGTAATGCTTACAAAGTTCTAACTTTAACACCAGCTGTCCGTTTAAATTTAGGAATTAATAAAAGTCATCTTGATGCTCCTCAATCTTTACGCTTTATTACTGAGAGTGATTTCGATGGTTGGCATTATTTGCTTAGTGACGCATCAAAACGCTCTCTTGCTGGAAATGTTGGAATGGGAATGCAGCAATCTAAAATAGTCCAAAAGATTATTATTATTATTATTATTATTATTATTATTATTATTTTCGTATTTATTTTAAACTCTCGCCTCTCCCAAGGCCTAAAAAATTATTATTATTATTATTATTATTATTATTTAAAAGTGTAGAGTTTATTCTAATAGCTAAGTTAAACAACAGTACAATATTTTCTGACTCTATGAGCGCATTGCAATCATTGTCCAAGTTTTCGTTTAGTTCTAAACTGAGTTGCCTCATAATTTTAAAAACTAGAAATTTACTTTATCAGTGTACAATAAAAGGTTATTCTGTAGAGTTTGCTTGGGTGCCGAGTCATTGCGGCATCCCAAGCAATGAACGCGCAGACCAACTGGCGGGTGAGGTGATTGATTGCGGTGATGTAAGTAACATTTTTTCTAATTACTGTCATGATTTGGGTGCACTGCTCGCAATTACTCTTAGGAATTCCTGGCAGGAAATTTTACTGTCAGCAGCCGCAAGAAGGGATCGTTTTATGCGAGTGTACAACCCTCTATTCCTACTAAGCCTTGGTTTTCCAAAATGGAATTTGGAAAGTTTGTACTGTAAGAGTGTACTGATTCGCATGAGACTGGGGCATATGTGATCACCGGCCCACTTAGCTTAGTTTAAAATTATAGACAATGAATGACCTTTGCGACTGTGGAGAGATAGGTGATCTAAATCATATCGTACTCAGCTATCCGTTATACGATCATTTATTTTTGTTTTATATCCTCATCTCCATTGGATTCCCTCTTTCTACTACTGTAAAGCTTATTTTGTCATCAAATAGTCCTATTATCTATAATGTATGTCTCTATAACATCGAGTCCTTCAAACGTAGTGTGAAGAAGCATTTGGCCAGACCGGCAAAATGATAGTGGCGGAGTGAAGATATTTGTGTTTTCCATCCGTTACTCTCATCTCTGGACTGTATTCGGACTTTCCATCAGGCGCGGTGCAGTCATTTTGCCGAGTCACAATAAAAAAATAAAAAAAAAATGTTTCGCTCCATTTATACCTTTCAATTGTATCAAATTATAAGTATAGCTATATATTACGTTTGTCATAATATAACAAATTATAATTCTTATGTTTATGTATTCCTATTTAACCTTAATCGCACTTCCCTAATCTTTCTTCCAAATCATTTTTGCTTTCCATTGTTTGCCGTGAAAAAATTCCCCGTTTTGCAGTGACACCAACGCAAACCGCGAAGTGCCAGAAACAAAACAAAAAAAAGCATATCGTTTCGGATTTTGCTTCGGAGCTCTCGTATTTGAAATTTTTCGGAAAATTACCCAACAGAAGATGAAACAGTTCTTTTATTTTATTAGATGGCAACACTGAGTATAAAATGTCACATGATTGACACTTCACGACGACATATAAACTATTAGGTACCAAAATAAAAAACGAAGAACAACGACTCAAGGAAAAATCCAAAACTACACATTTCTCAAAATAATTTGTTCCCTTCAAGTGAAACGTGCTTAATATAATATGTGAAGTTTGTTAATTGCCTCTGACTCAAGCAAACATGGCTTTAAATCTAGAAAGCTGCGATAGTTTGCCTCCTGACGAGGAACCCAAACTAAAGTACGATCGAATGGGAAATGATGTTCAAAACATATTGTTGAAAGACGCAGTGAACTGTATTTGCGTGCACCCAAAGTTCATATGTCTGGGGACACAGTGGGGAGTGATACACTTGCTGGACCACGAGGGTAATACAGTGCCAATTTCGCAAAGCGGAGAGCGGGAGCTGCAGGCGCACGCAATAGCCGTGAACAGGATATCAGTGGATCTAAATGGCGACTACATCGCCAGCTGCTCAGACGACGGCAAGGTGTTGGTTTACGGCCTCTATTCGAACGACAACACTCACAACTTGTCTCTCGGGAGGGTGGTGAAATCCATCGCACTAGATCCTTATTATTTTAAGTCGGGCTCGGGCAGGAGGTTTCTTACAGGTGCGTGCTCTCAAAGCAAACATTAATTTCATTGAAGAAATTAGTATATCCTTGCACCTTGCACCTTGTACCTTTATTATGTTGTGATGCTACATATTAACAACAATCTGCTTTTCAGGTGACAACAAGTTAACACTTTATGAAAAGACATTCCTCAATCGCCTGCGAAGTACTGTGCTATGTGAGTGTGAAGGCTATGTCCAAGCAATGGCCTGGCATGAGCGCTTTGTGGCATGGGCCAGTGAAGTGGGTGTACGGGTGTATGATCTCTCTGCACGCTGCTCACTCGGCCTCATCCAGTGGGAAAAAAGTCCCAACAGGTCCATCGAGGATTATCGCTGTAACTTGCTATGGTCTGCTCCAAAAACACTCATGATTGGCTGGGTGGATACAATCCGAATTTGCATTATCAGGAAAAGGAGCCAAGTGGAGTTGCAAACACGAGATGTAACAGAGTTTCTGGTTGACCCTATATACACTTTTCAAACAGATTACTACATTAGTGGTCTTGGTCCACTGGACAACCAGCTAGTATTATTAGGTGTTCCTAAAGAAAGAGACCCCGAAACACACAAAGCTCAACGGCCAGTGCTGACTGTGTCTGACTACAAGGATTGTGAGTTTTGTGAAGTGTCTACAGACACACTCAATATCAGAGGTTACGAAGAATACTCTTGTAATGACTACTACTTAGACATGCTCATAGAAGAAAACAGATTCTTTATAGTCTCACCTAAAGATATAGTTGTGGCTAGCCCATACGACATTGATGATAGAGTGCACTGGCTCACTGAGCATGGTAGGTATGAAAAAGCAATCACTGTGCTAGAGGAAGCTGGGGGCAAGACTGCAAAACACTCTGTAGTGGCTGTTGGTGAGCAATACTTAGACCATTTGTTGTCTGAGCATATGTACAATGAGGCTGCCATTCTCTGTGCCAGAGTGTGCAAGACTGACAAAACTCTATGGGAGTCCCAAATAAACAAATTTGCAAGTGTTAATCAACTCAGAGCAATTAGCCAATACGTGCCCAAGACTCCAGAGCAAGCCCTTAGCCCACATGTATATGAGTTAATTATTTATGAATATCTGAAAGTAGACCCACAAGGATTTTTAAAATTAATTCAGGATTGGAACCCTGCATTATACAAAACTGGTGTTATAGTTAAGGAAGTTCTGGAGCACCTACTAACCACTGAAGTAGACAAGAGCATCTATCTCGAAGCATTGGCATTACTTTACTGTTATCAGAAAAAATATGACAAAGCATTGAATGCATATTTGAAGCTGCAGCACAAAGATGTATTCAAGTTAATCACTAAACACAACATGTATGAAGTCATACATGATAAGATACTAGAACTGATGATGCTTGATTGTGACAAGGCAATTAGTGTACTGCTTGATAAAACCAAAGTCTCTATTGAAGTTGTAGAGAAGCAGCTGGAAAATCACGACATGTTCATGTTTAAATATCTTGATGCATACAGTAAGATAGAACCAAATGGAAAGTGTCATGGGAAGCTTGTAAGACTCTATGCCAAATATGCTAGAGAAAAATTACTGCCATTCTTAAAGTGCAGCGATAACTATCCCATACAGGAGGCACTGGATGTATGCCAGAACAATGAGTTCTACCCAGAAATGGTATTCCTTCTTGGACGTATTGGAAACACAAGAGAAGCTTTGCAGATAATAATAGAAAAACTAAATGACATAAACCAAGCCATAAATTTCTGCCAAGAACACAATGACAAGGAACTTTGGACAGACTTGATAAAACAGACAGTTGACAAGCCTGAGTATGTAACGTTGCTGCTAAAAAGAATTGGCAACTATGTTGACCCGAGAATGCTGATACAGAACATAAAGCCAGGCTGTGAAATAAAAGACTTAAAGGAATCTTTGGCTAAAATGATGTGTGATTACCATTTACAGTTGTCAGTTCAAGAGGCGTGCAAGGCAATCACGCTGAAAAACTATTTTGAATTACATAAAAAGTTAATTATTGGTCAGCAAAAAGGCATCTCAGTCACAGATGATTTCTTGTGCTGTGTCTGCCAGAGGCGAATTATAATTAGGGACTTGTCCAATGCTTCCGACTTGATAGTATACAACTGCAGGCATTCATTCCACATTGAGTGCCTGCCGGAGGGTGTGCACTGCACTAACTGCACCATATGCAGTGCAGTTAAGATATGACACTTGGGTCTCAATTCAATATTTAGGTAGATGCATATAAAATATTTTTTCATTTGGATAAACGTTGTTATCAAATTAACGTAAATATGTTATCAAATATTCATGGATCACATCATTAATATTGTTATGGTGCTTTATATAATGAAGTCGCTTTAGTTTATACAATTTTCCTTGTAATTATAATTCATGCCTATAAATCACATTGCCTAACACTGATTTCCCCATTTTTTTTATTTTATCTGTTTTTATGCACACTGTGCAATTTGCTTGTTTCAAAGTAATGTGAGAGCGAGAATTTACATTGACGGTGACTGTGCAAATGGCATGTAAATATGTATTTTTATTAAAAAAGTGTAACCATCATTCTGACACGTCATGACTTAATATTTATACAAGTATGAGTAATAATGATAATAATGACTTTTTTACTTAGAGCATTACAACACAGGTTATATCGGGATCTAACCTATGTTGAATCTAGAATATTCTACGACCTTGACAATTAAAAGTGTTTCAAAATATCATTCGTGTCGCTCTCATTCTTGTCTATGACAAAAGATTATTTTAGGATACGTTTTAAACTTATTACAATTAATTGTTAAATTTAATAATTTTATTACAATAAAATATAGATTATATATTGCATAGTCTTAATATAATCTATATTCAAAAATATCAGGCATCAACAGTACAGCAACAATAATGCAACAGAGAGGACCGGTCCTTGAGGTGTACTACTGAACTACAGTACACCGATTGACTTGTCCCTTAGGAAATCGCTTACATGAATGAACACTTTAGAGTCAACGACTTAGCGGTGGCAACCGTTAGTTGCGCAACGGAACGTGACCGTACGTACGGTTCCGGACTTCAAATAAAGGAGGAATTACGCGATTGCTCCGGCATTTATGAACCGATTTTGATTCTTGTTTTTTTGTTGGAAAGAAGGTACCCCAGTAGTGGTCCCGTTTTGAAGAAAATATTCTACCTCTAGAAGATGGCAAACTGGGAGGTGAATCCGGTTTCGCGCACTTTCCGGTAGCCGGTTTTAATAAAACTTGGCAAATAAATGTAATTCCACAAACTTGTGAGGTCGGTTTTTTTTTGTTAGATTTTACTGAGATTATCCGAGTAGACGCATCATTAAAGTAAACTTATTGGGAAAGTAGACCGATCAGAAGAATAGACTAAATGGAAAAGCAGACTAAACAGGAAAGTAGACGAAATAGGAAAGTAGCCCAAAGAGGAAAGTAGACGAAATGGGAAATAGACGAATCGGGAAAAACAAGTGGACCGATCGGGAAAGTAGACGAATAGTGAAAGTGGGCGGATCGGGAAAGGTAGACCAATTGTACCGAAGGACAACCAACGTCTTCTAATAAACCGTGCCAGATGCTTTGCCAACTAAGCCACGGAATGAACCAGCGGACCTTGCGAATTTTTCTGTGTGATTGTTGCAGATGTTTGTTTTTTGCCGTATCGCTATCTGTGAGTAATCTATTTCTTCAGTCAGCCATTTGTTTATAATAAATAGAAAAATTATGGTATGTATTCCACGTGAAAGTTATTTAATGAGAAATTTGCTGTTTCCACGAGTGTTTAGTTTTTCCTTCATTTCTTTAAATAAGGAGACGCGTAGACGTGGAACCGCCTAAGAGGAACGAGAAATTACACTTTCCTAATTTACGATAACGTAATTAAGTAAAATATACATAACAATTCATTTTAATAGTAAAACGCTTATTAGTGTAGTATCTGTCTCTATCTTCAAGGGCGTCAACGGCAGGTGAGACCCCTAGTTTGGTCACGACTCTTTTTTAACTTCTATATAGTCGCCTTAATAGGAACACTCCCTACTTTTAGTACACCTCGCCAAGTTAGAGTTAGGTCCCGGTGACTTGAGCCTGCGGTCTTTTGAGGGAGCGATCCTATTTAGTTCAGTGGGATATGGGAATTGGAAAGGAATAGGAACTGTTTCGGGGTCTTTGAAGGATACGAAATCAAGTAATCCGTGTAAACGCTTTATTGATTTAAATGGTGATATTTTATTGTTTTCCCTCTTTGTTATACTTTTTGTGTTTTTCGAATAAAGATTTTTCATGTTTATAATAAATAAAAATTATTTAAAATTATTTTATTTGTATTTTTTTTTACGTTATAATTTTATTTCAAAATACATATATAGTTTCTTATTTTTATACATGGTTAATAATATGCATATGTATAATATGTATACCTTACCTTAGACTATAGAAAAGAAAATGTAAAAAAGTTATATTGTATTGATTGTATACTTATACAGAGCGTCTCACGGCTGTGCCACACGGAGGGAAAATACCTTAGATACCGTGGATAGAAAATTTTACTGATACAAGGCTTCATTTTGATTTTAAATAAATAAAAATAAAAATCATTTATTTCAGATGTCTACGATATGATTTTAAAAACAATTCGAACAGCCTTCACAGATTTTCAAATAATCGCCTGTCTGAACCGGGAATCAAACCTGCCAAATGTGAAAAAAACACCTATAATTTTACTATACTGATCGAAAGCTAAGCTTTAAGTCGGAAGCTATGTCCGGACATGTGCAGGACACTACGACCGGCAACTCCGGTACTAGCCCGGAGTGCTAGTAGAGGATGAGCTAGACACCCTCCGATCCCTCCAGTCGCGTAGGTTTCTGGCAACTGGAGTGACGCTTCGGCGTCGGGAAGTGAGCGTGCCTACAGCTTCAACACCAAAGTACAGATGTGGCAGTGGACTTTAGAGTGAACTGTTTAGCGGTGGCATCCGTTAGTTGCGCAGAGCACAACGGGGCTTGAGCGTACCTACAGTTCCGGCACCTGAAAAATAGGGAGGGTACCGCACGTGTACCCGGGGCAGCTCACTCACATTTTACACACATACATTTTCATAAGCTCAATTTGGTTTGAACTCAGTAACCGAGTGGCTCAGAGCAAATAAATACCCTTACACTGAATACTAGCAAAACTAAATACATGACTTTCTCATACGATATCTCCTCACAACCTCCTGAGAATGCTTTCTCAATAGTAGCTCACCATTGTACAAACCCTTGAACTCATGTAAGCCTCTGGCTTGTCGAACACGGGACTGCACAAGCAACATACTGCATTACATCCTGGGGCGGTGGACATAAGACCACCTTAAACCTGGAAAGAGCGCAGAGAGCTGTTCTTAAAGTCATCAACTTCCGTCCTTTCGATTATACAACCCGCAAATTCATAAACGAGTGCAATGTGTTCTCGGTTCGGCAACTGATTATCCAACAAATAATTTTGAAAAAGCACACAACCACAGACAACTCGATACCATCATCATTTTCATCTCGCACACAACTCGGCTCAGCGCACGCGCACAGCTGCCGTCCGCTAACCAAAACGAGGCAAGTGACACAATTTTGTGAGATGTCATAAAATACTAGTTAGGGTAAGTTCTGATAAGTCGAACACGTTAACTAATTTTAACTGTTTTTAAAACAGAATTTTGTACATAGGACATGAAACTATTTTTCGTGCTGATCACCTCGCAAATGATGCTACAGTTGACGGGGACACGGCGTACTATAAAAATTATAATCATCATATGGCAACCCTTCCTTTACGTTTCCTTAGACATGATTGGAGTGCGATGTGGTCTGAAAGCACTAAATTAAAAGGCAAATTTTATGCTTACATTCAATCTTCTATTCCTGTAAAACCATGGTTTTCGTCACTTAAATTTAATAGATTGACTACATCTGTTTTTATTCATATGCGATTGGGTCATGTTTGTACTGCACACCTTGCGAAATAGAATATCGTTAATAGTGATTTATGCGAATGGGGCCAAAAATATACATCTTCCTACGTCCTTTTCGGTACTGTTATCATGTAATGATTCACATATTTATAAGTATTTATGTAACTTTATTGTAGAAAACAATATAAAAATTTAAATATTGGCTTCAACGCTGACCGCGAAAGACCAAAAAAAAGAAATGACTTTAAGGGTCGCATTCCAGTCAGGCTAAGCTAAGTCAGGACTTGAGTATGATTTCAAGCACTAGAAATCATACTCAAGTCCTTGCCATTCCTGGTATTTCCAGTACTTGAAATTATACTCAAGTCCTGATTTGAGCATTGAGTAGAATTCTGGAATACGACCCTTAGAGAAACTTATCGTATTCCAGAATTCTACTCAATGCTAAGTTAGGACTTGAGTATGATTTACAGCACTCGAAATCATACTCAAGTTCTTGCCATTCGTTGCGTATATTTTGTACGAACTCGTTCACACATATCCGTGTCCGGGCCGGGGCCAACGCCGGCGCCGGATCGGGCCCGCAGTTCATACAATCTAGCACGCCCCGTCCACGTCCCGGGATGTTGTGTGTGGATAGTCCTTTAAAATACCTACTGCTCGGCTTTGTTTGGCAACAGCTGTATGCTTTTTTCACACCGGGGACCGGTCAAAACGCGAGGAAGGGTCGCGCGCTCAACACGCATCGACTGATCATCATCATCTTATTTAAGAGCCAAGCTCTTGTGACTGATAATAGTAGTAATTTCACAATACAAGACAAAGTGATTCGAATCCTACTGGATAATTTTATACACACAAATGGTTTGCTAATGATTCTATATAAACGTCGCTATGTAGGCAGCGCATGTGTGATGTTGAAAAGAATATCAATATCGTTCATAAACAAACAAATAAATAGTGTTTTTGTCAGTGATCATCAATGTAACAAAAATATGATAATATTGTAGAATGCGAGGGCATTTTCCCCCACATAGCGTAATACAAACAAAATCCCCAAACGAGTTGTTGAGTTGAAATTCCCTGCATTTGGGGAATTCCCCATAAATTGGCAACACTGCAGTTAGTTCAGAAAAAGTCTGACGAAAGAATCGGACTCCTATCTGACGTGTATTGAGTGAATCCAATCCGATAGTCGGATCCGACCATCAGACACGAAATCGGACGTGTATACCCGCGCTTAGAGCATATAGGACTGGAGGCGTCATCAATAGGCAATCACCTCTATCAAGGTACAAGCACAAAACAACTATCGCACAATAAACACTACTTTAAAATCAATGTTTTTTCATTTCCATTATCCATTCTCCGCGTCAAGTACTCCACGAAACATGTCGTCTTGCGCTGTACAAACTTGCAAAAAAATCTCTGCTGCATCTAGTCTAGCCAAGAGTAATTACATTTAATAATAATAATAATAACGCACCATTAACGCACACACTCAACATAGCCCCGCACTAGGAAAACCCTGTGTCGCGGGTGGCATGGCACACACATAGACAACCACAAATTACACCCAAACTCACGAGATAAATAAATGTAGGCCATACATATATTTCTCCCGGCCTGAGAATCTGGACCAGGGAACTGGGACTGGGAACCAGGACCTCTGCATGGCAGTCCAGGACCTCGGCATAGTAACCGTTCGGCCACAGAGGCAGTTAAATTTTATTTTTTTTATTATTTCATACATAAGCCTCTTTTTTACATTAATTGCAAATTTTCTATTTTAGGACATTTTTTCACATTGATTCAATTTATCGATTACATAAAAAAATATTTGAAAATATTGGAACATTTGACATAAGCATCCCTATGAAGTATGGCAACTATCATGCAACTATAGACAAAAAAGTGCAGTACTTCATGGACGCTGTTTTTTCGTTATAGAGAAGCGACGCGCTCTCTTAGCTCCTATTTTTATCGACAGATTGTGTAACGAAGTTTATTCAAATTGATTTCTCCGTCGTATTGTATATTCAATAATAATGTAATTGTTGGAATAATATGCAGAATACGCTTTGAATAGACGTCCTTTATTGTGTATAGCACAAACTGTTTAAAAGAAATTACAAATCCACCATTAAAAAAAACAAGTTAAAGCAACCATATTCTAATACAAGACAGTTAGTGTAGTCAACAACTCGTTACTCTGTAGGTAACATAGTTTGTGAACATATAGGATTATACCGCGGGTTTTTACTTCTTAAAAACAACAGTAATAAATTATAAATAATGAAAATAAATTGTAATTGTTTAATATAAATCATCATAAATCATGCCGTACTGTAAGAAAAAAATAAAAACAAAAAGTATTACGAGTGCATACATACAATACACAAAATACAAACGCTATAAAAATAACCAAATAGCTAGCTGTCGTTATCCTACACAAGACATGCGCAAAAGACAGAAAGAGACCCGTTACGTCAATTTCAATTTTGGAACCGCAAGCGTTTGATTTAGAACAAAGAAACTATAGAGTTAGAGAGTAGAGAGAAGTCATACCGTGGTAAGAAACCTGATACTAGTGATACCTAATCATTTAGTGAATAACCACGAAAGTCTTAAAATCTATATAAAAAAGAAATCTATAAAACTATAGAGTTGATTTAATGTTAATCTTATTTTTGAAATGACTTTTTATTATATGTTAGTAATAAATAACTAACAAAATATTGTTGTATTCGTTTTACTGTTTGGCGTTATCAATCAGAAGTCCGAAAATACATTTGACCGAAGTTATCTTTGCTCGAATTTTTGTAATCCCAAATGTACTTTTTTAGGTTATTTTAGGAACATTACAAAACAAGCTAACTTAATCTTTTCTTTATAATAAGCAACCAAAATCCCCTGAAGCATAACGGTTTTGTTATAAATAGTTTTTCGAGATTATGATACTTTGAATTTACTTCTAGTTGGAATCTAGACATTCGAATCATCGATACATTTCTTACAGCACGTCATAACTACCAACAAAGAGACACAGCTATTTTCACATTTACAATATTTGTATGTACCGATATTTGTCTACACAACTCTTATTGCTTGAAGAGAATTCGTATAAAATTCAACACAATACTATAAAATTAATTAATATTGACATTAAGACTACTCCATCACTCTTATGTTCAAGTAGTTTTCACTAGAAACCAAACAAGATGCATTTTGTTATTTCCAGTAGAAGCTGAATATGGATAATTTTTGGGCCTTTAAATTGTGGCAAACAAAATTAAGCAACACTGCAATGACTTTACAGTTTAAATTGAATGTTTAGTTTTTTGTTAATACTTCTATACATGTCCCTACGTTTGTAGAGATTAACTCCGGCCATGCTTGTCATTGGCTCCAACGCTGACCGCGAAAAGCCATAAACTGAAAAAAAAAAAACTCCGGACATTTTTTCGCGGTTTTTGGATTAGACTTTGGATTGTATTTATAGTCATTCATTTATTGGTAAGTCAATGGGCAATCTCAAAAACAATACTACTGTTACACTACACACGAAATTGAAAAAAGAAATTCACTACATCCATCCAGTCTAGCCAAGGGTGGAATTACATTTTTCATATACATGATTAACCAGTACATAATACAAGTCGACACCGTCACGTCGATAACTTGAATATACGAGAGACGGCTCTAGTATATTCACGAGAATCGATTTATTTTTATAGGTGTGTTTTATCTGTGCATTTGTAAAAATAAGCTAGTGTTGTAAACGTTTGTTTGTGTGTGACCATAGTGAGTGACACAGTTCAATTTTGCATTTGAATAGTTTTATTTTTTTTTCCATCCTCTAAGCTTATAGTACTAACCCCGCCCCTCAAAAAGTGGCAGAAAGTTTTGTTCGAGAAATAACGCTAATAGCGCCTCCCGCCCTATATGCTCTAAAGCTTCAAGATAAAGAACAAAAATTATTATTTTATGTACAATTTGCACAACAATATAACATTCCACCGAGTTTAATGCTAGCGTCTTTTAAAATTACAGGTTAGGTCTTAGAATAATAGGGTTAGGTATTTTTAATGTCGTTCTGTTAACGTACGCGGTCAACAACAAATAGGTGGGTTTTGTGTGAAGTGTAAATGTTAAACGGTGTTAATATAAAATTACAAGTGAGACCTCGCCGCCAATTTCAGGTAAAAATGACGACAATACATCCCTACATATGTGAACTCGACTGTGAAACGAATACTACACTTAAAATGTACCTTTTCAAGAATGTTAAAAATTTAGAAACATTGAGGAGTAAAGTAATAGAAGGCGCGTGGATGTGTGGGGTAGTGAATGCTGAGCTGGTGTTGGATCCGCTGCAAGTGGCGGTGGCAGCTAATGCGGCGGTCGTCGCGCAACTCCGAGGCACGATGCTCACCAGGACAGTCTACGGGGAAATCCTCTACAACTTGTCTATCACAAAAAACATCTCTCAGAGTCTAAGCAAGTTTGGAATAAACAAAGGAAGAGATCTGCTACTTTGTTTCTTAGTGAGGCCAGACAGGGACAACAGTGAAGATATCATTCCTCAATTAAAGGGAGATCTGTGTCCTATTACTGAACTAAGCACTGTTACCAACATGAAGGAAATAAAAACTGCTTATAAACTAAACAATTTTAAAGGTAATATTAGTCTTCTGGACATTATATTAAGTAGGATGGTCACCAAAAGCTTTGTATCTCATTAAATGTATTACATTTTATCGGGTTTTGCATGCCAATCCCACCACACTGCTTGTTATAGTAATTGGTACTATAACAAGATGTCTAGGTTGGACAGTAGGAAGAGGCGACTGAAAACAAGACAGATTTTTTGCATTTTAGTTATAATATTGTTTCATCACTTTCTCTCTGCTTTCCATAGTTCAGAATATTAGACTGAATCTTCCCCGAGAGCCAAGATTTCAGGCAAAGTCTATACCACTTTTAAAGTTGGTGAGGAGTGAAGTAATAAACCACCTGCACGAATCGAGCAAGCACAATTGAGTGTGCCAAAACCGAATTTAGGGCATTCTGATATAGATATGTTGGATTTTATCGATAACTATCAACCACACAGGAAAATTGATAAGAATAAAAATCTGATCTATTGGAAACAAACATTGAAACAATTTATAACAATATTTAAAATAAAAAGATACAATTTATCCTGTGTGTAAACAATAACTGTAAACAATGTGTCCTTTTGTCTGAACAATATCAACCAAGCAGGCATGTTAATAGCTTAGACATAAATATGAATATTCGCAGTATCTCTCTGCAACCAAAACCAAATTGCTACCCCAATTACAAAGGAGTGACTATTCTGCACAGTTTTTTGTGTTTATAGTTATAATATTTCTTTATTTCTGATAATGTATCAATAGAATTTTTAGTAACAGTGGGTAATTACGACTATGTTAATTAAAAATAATAATTAATGATAACTTACTTGTTATAATTATTAATACAAAGATC